CTGCTCGTTTTTATACGCTCTGCTTATTGCGTCTCGTTCTGCGCGACTGGTAATCAGCAACGAAAATTCCGGGCAGAGGGAAGCGACGTACATGGTTCATATCCATTCCCGTGCGTACAGCGCCAGCGGTATATTTGATTGATTGCTTATTGTGCATTCCTCGCGGCCAGGAGGGGCTCGGACGCAGACCCAGCCTCGCCCCGACGCAACCCGTGCTCAGAGCTGTGCGCCGCGCCACGAATTCGCCGGCGATCTCTTGAGTACGCCGCCGGGATCCGCGCACGGCGTAATACGGCGGGGCGGAACGCCGGCGCGCCGCGCTCAAACCTCACAAACAGTAAGATAAAATCTGAAAATTACAATCAAGAGAACTCCCGTGCACCGCGGGAAAGTCTGTCCCCGGTGACCCGACAAAAACAACGATTGATGATTTTTCTTGATGTCGAAGTGCTCCTGTCGGAGGGCCCAGTCGGCGAGCTTTCTTCGGGGTGCCGATCACAACTTGTTCGCGGAGTTTCATACGCCGGGGTAGAACCTCTCCTGGAATAGCGGCAGTAAGAGGGGAAAAACATCAGCGCGCAGATATTCGGCAGAGATCGCTCGGAACTTCCATCTAATTTTCACAGGACCGGATCTGGAGCGCAGAAAGAGTAGATATTTGGCGGAAGTTCGATTGCGGAAGTCCTCTGGGTCAAGCTCGAATTTTCACGTGTTGGAAAATTTCTGAAGAAGCTTGTTTTTGCCGAATAAATATTTCGGTCCTCACACCTCCCTTTGAAGAGGGACGCCTACTCATACGACTTCCGGCTCGTGTCGACTACGAGCTTTCGTGGAGGGACGAGGACTTGACGGGCTCTGGGAGAAGAATACGGTTGACCCTTGGTGGCACATGCGGCGTCTCTATAGCCGTCGCGACCCGGTTCTTCATTTGATTAACGTGTCGTATCCACGTTACTTCCCCCTACCTTCATTCTGGTAACCCCAGGATGCCCAACGTGCAGCTGAAGGGGGATTTTCGCTTGAAGAACTCCAGGAATGACGACTCGGTCGTCGGTCATGAATCATGATGCATTCCGTCGCGATCGATAGCGAATGCCTACGATTGAAGAAATGCCAAAGTGAGCTGTCCCGCTCAATCCTGTCGGGCCATTCGCTTCGGATATATTGCTTGACTCTGCAGAGCACCTCTTCTCTCTAAGTAGCGCTCCGAACATCCTCGGGAGTGACTGGAATCGTCTGAACGCACGTGTCGAAGATCGCATTGATGTCAGCTTCAATGAAGCCGATAGCGACATCTTCCGAAACCTTATCGTTCACCCGCTTGGCAATGAGTCTTGACAGAGCATCGGCCTGCCCGAAAACTGACCGCCGGTCGGTTCTTCCATAATTCTTCGTGCTGGCACAACCACTCGCATCCCAGCAGTCTGTATGGATGGTCCTCAACATAACAGCGTCCCTTGAAATCCAGCTCATCAAGTTTGAATCGGCATTGGACGTAGCCCAGACAATCGAACCGTTTGTCGTCCGCAGCCGTCATGACACTGGTACAAGGTTTGAGCAGGATCTCCGAGGGTGCTCCAGTCCTCTACTCTTATGCTTGTGTCATCCGCTCCAGTGTCCAACCTCATAGAGAGGGTCGTAACATCCTAGCGAATCTCCTTGATGCCGGCAACTGGAGTTTGGAAACCTAGGATCTCGATGGAGTTGATGCCTCGCCTGTCGGGAGGTTTTGAGGGCTGTTTCAAACTCTGGTTCTTCGTAGTTCTTGTGCGAGCTGGATGCATTTTTCGGATTCTTGTAACAAATGATTTCGATGCTTCCCGCAACGATTGCAGTTCGGTTTCAAGAAGAGGCAATAAGGGTACTCTGAAGTCTTCTGAAATTCTTGACATGTTGATGCAGGTCCCGGAGTCAGGACCGTGGTTTGTCCTCTAGGAACTGTAGAGCAAGCTTCCTCACATCGACGTGTTCGGATCCCCTGAGTCCGCAGATCCAAACAAGACATTTCATTCGGTCTGCCGAGACTTTGGTCATGTCAGCGAGTTCGTGCCTCCGATTGACCATCCAGTGTAATCGTCATAAGTGCCATCGTCGGTCTTTTCGCGCCTACTCTGGAGGTATTGGTATCGTCGGGCGAATTCAGAGTCGAGCGAGATCCTCAGATTCAGGCGTAAGATGGTAGCATCGAACTTCAACTCCGAGTATTTACGCGGCAAGATGCGAGCGTCGAACTTTGGAAAACACTCCGGATCTGATTTCTGCATGATCAGTCGGACTTTCGCTGCATGGTCTAGCGCGGGGGTGGCCAACCTTTCCGGTCCCGCGGACCACTAAGGCCTTGGCGACGGGGCCCGCGGACCACCAAACTATAGGTCATATGTTTTTGCTATGGCTCCGGGTTAGTCATATGTCTCCCTGGTCTTCGCGCGAATTTTCTGTGTCGAAAAGAAAGTTCCCTGAGTTCTAGCTGCAAGGAGGACGACGTCGTCGAATCTCGACGTCACAAGATGCACCGCGGCTCTAGGATAAAGGAGAAAAAGAGTTAGCGGACACTCTCAACATTAAGAATACAGGTGCAACATTCACTAAAAGCGCGAAGGACGTTGAAACGGGTGATGTGAGACTCGATAAGGAAGTCCTGAAGAGGTAGTGCTCAAGCACTACCGTTGGTGGGGCGTGAAAACGTCCCGGTTACGCAACAAACTCTTGGAAATCTGCGGAATAATTGTGTTGCTTATGAAGAAATAAACTCGCGGTGATCTAATGTGATTTATGCGGATCTGTGATTTTTGAAGCCTTTCTGCTTCGGCATCGCCTGCCGCTTCACGGATGATTGTGTTTGTGGTTGTTGACAGTTGTCTTGTGCCGTTGTAATCTCGCACTTGGAGGTTCTGTAGAATGACTGCATCACCTTCTTTTCCATCTAATTTGCCGACAAACTCCGACCAGAGGCCAAGATTCACCATTTTCATACTGTCGTCGAGTACAGTAACCGTTTGTTTTTCGCGGTTGATACCATCTCGACTGTTGAAAGTTTGTGGTAGCCTCACGTCGAATACCACTACGAGGATATCGACCGTCGTGTTCACGGGCTTTGATAGCAGTTCAATAAGAACTGTGGTTTGCGCCTGAGTCTTCGGGAGATCGTTTCCCGCGATCGGAACGAGTTTACTCAGCTTGAAATAGAGATTTCGATTAAATCCCGAATTTCCTATCGGCCTATGATGATTTTCGCCCTGCGATTGTTATTCATGATTTCATCTGACCAATGATATGTTGAATACCTTCGTGAGCTGAAGCTTGCATTCATGTTCTGTCGCTCGGTACTGGGGATTCACGGCTTCGACCTTGTATGCATTTATCTTGTAGCATTGTCCAACCGTGATCATTCCAAAGATCTCCTCCGTTGAATCCCCTACCTAATCGGATTAATTATCTAGAAACATGTGTCGGAAGTGTTGTGTCGCGCGCCCCCATACCTGCCCATACCTGGAACATCGCACTATCTCCGGCTCCATTTCATGTGAAGCGCCGTGGCTTATGTCCTCAACAGATCCGAGACTCCCATTCTCCCCATTGCGAGCATGGTTCGTAGCTTGAGAATGTAGCAATGAAGCCTCCCGAACTCCCGACGTCGCTTCCGATACAGAGCAGATCGCTCAGCTGCGCTCTTTGACTTCTTGGCTGGCCCACAAGCCAAACTTTGGGCTTTTCGCTTGAGACGCCTCCTACTAGCATTTTTCGGCCTCATCTGGACGGTCGCTTAATCAAAGTAGATCAGTATGCGAACGCAGACACCGCGATGATCAAATCAAAAGGGATATCGCTGGATAACGAAGCCCGCATAAGATTTGATGAGTTCTGATGATCGCCTGAATTCTCCTGAAAATCTCTTTCGCGACGGCTCCTCAAAATGATATAAGTGGCGTCGGTGACGGCACACATCGTCGCCTTTGCCGGGCAAGCAATTCCGATCAATCCAGCGTCTGAGCACTGAGAAAAGCGATTATTTATGCAAGAATCGAGGTATCTCAGAGGGTTGCACGAATCACGCTGAACGGGAGCTCTGAGGACTCCAATCGGCTCCAAAATCGCGTGGAAGCTCGTGCCGTAAATTTTCGATACTATGGCACACACCGCGAAGATCTAGGTGTTCGGGGAACAAAGTTATGAAGCGTCAAAAGCGGATCACTTTCGTGACGCTGAGGACGAAGTACCCTTGGTCTGTATGCGCGATGAACTTGAAGACGTTTTCACGTCAAAAAATTGGATACTCACTTGGTATCCATGGTTGTTCGGAATGGTCGCAACTGCAACAATAAGAACCAAGCATGAGTTGAGATTTGAGTTCTTGATGCTTTTGAGTTCAAATCGATTGTTGATATGGAATTCCAAAACTCCGCTCAAGAACTCCGAAAAAAGCGGCAACGGCGCCGTCTGGTACGCGTATGCTGAGACTAGGAGAGTTTGCGTAGATAGGGGCAGGGAAACCACCCAGGCCTGAGGCTGTCGCTTGAGTAAGCAGGCAGGCAGACAAGCAGAAGAACTAGCGAGCCTCTGTCATGGCCCGCTAGAACAACTGGCCGGCAGGGGACTTCATCCGGAAGCGATTATCGCGGCTTGGCTTGGATCGAGGACTCCTTAAATAAGGCAGGCCGCTCGCGAGGCTACAGGGCAATAATTCGACGCATGGGCATATGCGACTCAACCCCAAATCAGTGGAGAACTAGCTCGGCGGGCCAAGACAGCAGCTCGAGCGAGGGTCGACTTTCTCAGAAGCCTCAGAGGCAACGTGCGGACTTCCACAGGGAGGGAGTCTCTCGGCGACGCTCTGTGCAACAACGGGTTGGTTCTGAACGCCAAAGTCGTGCTACCTGATTTTCTCACTCGGAACTGCACCTGCGAGGACACCAATCAAGATCCATGACACATTATGTCTCGAGCCACATTGTTGCAATGGCAGTCAAATATGCAAGGAGTCTTCGACAAGGCATCCAGGTATGACCGTGGACGTGGACGAGAAGCTCAGTTGGGAAGCTCACGTATCTGGGATGCTGACCAAGCTCAGAGCTGCGGCGATCACGATAGCGAAACTCAGTTCAGCAGTCGTCAAGAAAAGTCTGATCGTCGCCCATGAAGCGCTCTTCGAAACTGCGGAATCCTTGCATATCACTCAGTCGGCCTTTCCATGATCAACATGAGAACATTATCGGGAATCGGAACACTCGAATATGGACACCAATACGAAATGCGGACAACATCGATATGGATGCCACGTACCAGACTCGTAAGAACAGATAGATCGTCTGTGACTAGATATGCCAGGTTCTAGGCTACAGAGAGTGCCAAAAAGCGATCGACGAGGTCTGCTAAAACGGAACTTCTTGAAATAGATGGGCTGTTTCCGAAAAGAAAAGTCGTCACGTGGAAAGTCACCGTTAATGCATTGAACCTCGCAGAGGACTTCATACAGCCGTTCGCCCCATCCGTCTCCGGGCTTCCAATAGGGATTTCCATCGAACGAGACCGCGATCTTCCGATCGTCCTCCTCGTAGAATAATCGCTCTATTCCAGGGAGATAGTGCGCGATGTTCACGACCTCTATATTCCCTTCCGCGTCCGTCTCGATCCCGCATTCCAGACTGTTCTGACTTGGGAAAACTCTTGCCCGCGGGATGTCGGGAGCGAAGGCTGGATAGAGAAAAATCCAGTTTCTAGAGAGTCGCCAGCGAGTCCGAGGGAGCTCACGAAAATTGGTTCCAATCGCAGAAGACTCACAAAGATCTTCCTCGGACTGAAGGCTCGCTGCAATGCGAATGGCGGATCGAGTGAAACCCAAGCTGCAGTGAAGACTGACTCGTCAGTCTACTCGACTCACGCAGTGGGAAGACTTGACTGTGATTCCATGAGAAGGGCGGAATCGTTCACCGAGGGCAGATAGCCCATTCGCGTCGCACGCGCGAGACACCGTGGCCAGCTCGCCGGGCGGAAAACAACATGTGAGGGTACAACCGAGCCGCCTCACTCTCCTCTGATCTTTACAGACCGCCTAGTCGCCCTGCGGATCACAGTCGCTGCCCTCGGTGAACGATGGAGCCGGACGAAATGGAATAGCTGATAGCTCGCAGTGCTCCTCCGCCCTATCGAGGGCAATCACTCAGACTCATCCGAGAGTCTGGCACGTCAGCAGTGTCGCTGAGCTTGAAATTATCGATTCAGCGGCGAACTTCCCAGCGAGACACGGACTCTTTATCTCCTACGTTGAATATTTCTGTGGACGATACTCCATTCCCATGTCCTCATAGGATGCACGAGCATATGGAGCCAGCCGCCTTTCTTGCTCCAGTGTGTGGATGCATTCCTGTTTCGATCTGGCTCCAGAGCGCTCCAAACACTGACTCTCTCAGATTTCGCGGTCGTTGATCGGAATCGCGGAACAGCCACCTCCTGATTACACAAAGCCTTCGGATACGATGCATCGAAGAATTCACAAACTTTACTCAAGATTCTTGAAGATCGTGTGCGATTTGGATGGATAAGAACGGCCCAGCCATGCTCATCATACCCTTTCGCCGGCTATCGTCAATCACGCAATCAGAGATGCTCGGCGAGCTGAAGTAAAAGCTGTGTGCTACGGAGTCGGGGAGAATATTTAGATCAAATGATTGAGACTCGAGAGACGTTCGAGTGTTATTATTTGTCATCCCCTGGGAATTCCGCTAATGGACTGTCTTGAAGATCCGCCGACGTAAACACCGCCTTTATCGCCGTCGAGAGCGCACTGTGACTCGATATCGCCCTTGCGGATTCGAAGCAAAATCTGCGGTACGAATTTCGTTTTTGTAATGCTCTCTTTGTAATATCCGGAAATTGATTTGACTGGAAGGAAAGCCTGTATTTGTATTCGTGGATCAGGAATTAAGAAGGTTTTTTCCAGAGCAACGAGCTCGGCTATCGATTGCAATGCTGTGAGGTATAGACTCAGTCAGCTGTGATGAGCCGGAATATTTCTCCCCCGTCCGCCATCACTCCGTTTTTGAAAGGAACATTGCCCACTCATTTCGACGTCGCCTTCTCAGGAAAAAACCTATTCCGCTCTAAAAAACCTTATTCAGATCGGCGAAGAGTTCCCCCAAACATTTCGAATGGTACTTCTGCATATTCGGATATCCCTGTTTTCGAAGGAGTATCTTTGAGGAATCATCCCTTAAAAATAATTTTGAGCTCTTCAAGTAGGTCATTGGCTTCCCAGTCGATGCATTCCGCCTCGAAATCATGTCCGAGAAGTCTTCCGCAGTCCCCGATCTGATAATTTATTCCATAAGGGAATTCTGGAGAAATATCCGATTCACCGACTTTTCAGACACAATCTCCAGCCCTTCTCGACGATTTCTACTCGACAGTCTCATGACCAAGAAGTTTTACAAGAGATGCGCATCACCTCATTCCTTTTATGCACTTCATCATAGATGTGGTGGTCGTGAACAAAGGTCAGCATGTGACTTCACATGAAAGCATTTCTCCGATGAGTATCTGGAGCTCCTCCCCGGTGAAATTCCAGTGCAGACACAACGAGCGTTAAATCAGAACTTCTTTCGATCAAGCTGTTTCAACAACTGAAATGCGCACCGTTCGCTGGCACGTGATCAAATGTCTTCAATATGCTGGGCGAGTACATGAGAGTGCTCCCATGGACATCAACGAGGGGTCTGTCCGTGTCTGCATGAAGCTTTTGTTTACGACCTGAAGAATTTCTCAAATCTCCGACGTCATGAACGAAGGCGGATGTTTCGCATCGGATTAGGTACATATGTCTATCCGACATATAACTCTCCCTCGATTCAGATTATCCCATCAGAACAAGGACTCGATCGATCCTTCCCTCACAATTTTTTTACGGATTCTCTCACTCATCTGACGTTCCGGGACCTTGCCTCCGGAAGCAGAACATCCTGAGCATGTCTTCAGGGAACTTTGATTGAAATGACAAAACACCGGAGTGAGGTTTCCTGTTTCCTGGGAAGACCTGACCAAAATCGAAGAACAAGAAGTCTGTCTGGGCGATGAAGCGAACTTTGTTCGGTCAAGCTTCCACAGAATCAGAAAGCTCTGCCCAGCTCGACTTGGTCACGATGCTCCTCCAGAGTGAAGTTGTGGTAATTATTGGTTACTGAATCCACAGGATTCAATCGCAAGATAATCACCCATCCAACTCAAGTTTTTTTCAATCGGAAATCTGAGCATTTCAAAAACATTCTCTTTATGTGCTCCGTGGATAGAAGTTCGATATTTTTCGGAATCCTTATCTCGAAAATCCTCGGAGTCGATTCTTATGAGGCTCCGAGGATAGAAGTCCGATGATTTTCGGGTCTCTCATCCCGAGAATTTCTGGAGTTAATCCTCGTGAGCATGAGCTCTATGCTGTGGATAGAAGTCCAACAATTTTCAAGTCTCTCATTCCGGGGATTTCTGGAGTTGATCCTCGTGAGCATGGGCTCTATGCTGTGGATGAAAGTCCGATAATTTTTGGGTTTCACATCCCGAGGATCCTCGGACTCGATCACCATGAGTTGCCTCCGTTCTCTTTGGACAGAAGTCCGACAATTTTCGGATTTCTCATGTCGAAGGTTCTCGGAGTCTCAGAGCCGCGCTGAGCTTACGAGCCAAGCGCAGTGCGGAGCTGACTTCAGCGCCATCTGCCAAAATGGCAGCCTCTCTCGGAGGAGAAATGCCAGCCGGCAGGCATCGGCAGGTTTCCGATGTTCCGATCGAGCGATTTATTTCCCCTGGTTAGTATGTACATTCTGGTATGCTGGACCGTTCAGATGAAATATTTTGTGAACAGTTCGTCTCGGAAGCTTCCGCTCCACAATGGGATAATTTGGGCTTGTCGCAATCACCCAGTCTTGCGGCTAGTATCCCCAGAGCAGTTCCCTATGGCACTGCCGATACATATTTCCTCTGATTCACTCATGTCGGCATCGATCGAACCATGAAGGATTCCTCTTCCAGCATAGCAAGAATCCACCTCCCTCCCGCCCTGGCGGGAGATTATCTCGATATCTTCCTAACCCCATGCAACTCTAGATCACGGACGACTCTACAGACTAATCGCAGATCACGGCGGATAATCCGCTATCATCCTGAACTATTTGGAAGGAGAGCGAGGAGGGTGGGAAGGAAATTGCGTTAGCGAAGGATGACGCCGAAATCTCCTCTCTTTGGCCATCTATAGTTCCCAGACTTTTTTCCGCGCATCCTTCCAGCTCCGAAGGAAAGAGCTCCTACAACCAGATGGTGAGCTGCGACGGCGGATTGAGGCAGCCGTTAAGCCCGCCCCTATTCCACGTCCATCTCCACGGGCGAGCTTGGAATTTCCCCACTGATTGCTGGCGAGAAGTCATATGGTCTTCAAGTTGGGGATATCGCGAATTCAGATTGGAGCCAACATAACTGAATCTCGAATGTCATATCATCGTAAAACATACATTTGCAGCGGAACGTGTCTCCCATTGCATTGTCTGCGTTTCAAGCGTCCTTGTCGACTCCTGAACCACTATGAAACTCCATCAGGAAACTTGACACGACTCACTCAGTTCTATTCCCCCACGGCTGAGGCTGCCCCTAGAGGCCCTAGAGGGCGTATATGGCGAATCGGTGTTTTCTTCGCTATTCCTAGTAGACAGAGCAGGGAGCCCTGCATAAACTCCGACAACTCGCGATAAAAGATTCGGGAACTATCAAAATTCCATCAACAAAGCGCTCTAAGGATCCAATCCGAGCATATACGGTAATCGGGACTAACATTGAGCGCGTCGGAAAATCGACTCGCCCATCAGAATCCTATCCTGAATTTACACCGATTTGTAGACGTCAAATAAATAATTATTCATCGTACGCTCGAGGGACTCCGAATTCCGAGTCTTGTATTCGCGGAAGGAACTTTTCAATTTTACAGATCAAGTCTCCCCGATCCTCTGCTCGATAAGAGTGGGGGAGGATTTGGGGGTCAGCCCGGGAAAAATGCAGCTAGCCGCCAATAGCCGCGGAGAGGAAGCTCAGTTGTGACGTCCTCGAAGAATGCCGAAGAAAACCCCACATCTTAGGGGAGAACATCTTCCATCGCCCCCAGGATCAAGCATTTAGTGCCATTCATGATTGCTCATTGCCTAATTT